AGAAATAGTGTGACGTATGCAAGACATACAGATTTTGTTTTCTTGTTTATGTTCTAGCTCCTCATATCACTAATGTAGGCCTGCCACCACCTGCTGTCCCTATCCCGATGACCCACTCTCCTTTAAGTTAGAACTAGTATATGCCTATGAGGAACACTAAGAATAAAAAGATGATTCTCTTTTATTTAATGGTCTATGCTATTTATGCTTAGGCATTTTGAAGTATGTATCATTTATCCAGAATCATTCAAAATCTGGAGATCTAGGGCATTGCTATCTAATAGAACTTCTTGCATTGATGGAAATGTTCTATATCTGTGCTATTCAGTACAGTAGCCATTATCCACACTTGGCTATTGAGCACTTAAAATATGGCTCATGTGGCTGAGGAACTGAAATTTTCATTTCATTTAATTTAGCTAATATTAAATAGCCATAGCTAGTGGCTGCTGTATTGGAAAGTGCACATTTAGAGAATGGTGTCGCCTCTCACTATTTCAGTGATTCTTAACCTTTTTTCCCTGCCTGAAGAATACACATTGCTTGATGGATTGACACATTTCCATTGGTTCCTGTGGCAGTGATACTTAGATTCTTAACTATTGGGGGTCATATCGCTTAGGGGAAAGGCATGTTCAATTTGGAAAAAGGCCTCTAGGTGGTTCTGAACTTTTTTCCCTTAGATACCTGCTCCTTCTTTACCCTCTTCCCCTGAGGAATTATTGCGGTAAATGTTCTAATGTTTAGATTTAGAACTCTAGGTACAGAGAATTCTTACTTGATAGTCTAGTATTTTCTACTAAATAGTAAATTGGTTAAAAGAAGGGCCAAATTTTTAAATTTTATACTAGAACATGGGTTATTGGCATGATACACTCTGGTTACTAGCTACATTTTGAATTCTTCCTATAATCCTTTTCTATCAGGAATAGTAATATCCAAAGAGGTAGTTCTGGTGTTGAATATAGGTCAAAAGACCTGGGCTATTTGATTTCATCTCTAAGAAGTTTCTCTGCCCCAAAATAGTCATTGTGGCCTCATAACATATTTTTGGTGCCTCCATTTTTACTGAACTCACTAGTAGTGGTCACCTTTTTTATGTTTTATATCTATAAGCTGTGTTTTCAGGCTCCCATTTGATTCTTTAGATAAAATCCATTTAATTGTTTTATTTGTGATAATCTTTGTATTCTGTTTCTTTCAGTTTCTTCTGCAGGAAGCATTTGTGGAGGTCTGGTCTGCGAGATGTTCCTAAAAGGTAAAGAATTACCCAACTTCCACGAGACTAAATCTCTTCCTGGTAATGAATTTGGTATTTTCTGAAACAGACTTACACTGAAAGGTAGGGTTGCCAGATTTAGGGGAGAATAACAGAACACCCACTTAAATTGAATTTCAGACAATCAATGAATGATTTTTTAGTATAAGTATGTTCCATGCAATATTTTATCTGGCAATCCTACTGAAAGATGATCTTTAACGTTGTGTAGATACAGGAATGGACACGATACCTAGATCACTATTGCTTCTCTGAATACTCTCTATACAACCTCAGGCAAAATTTACTTAGATATAAAACAAAACTTTTAATAAAGTATTTGTTCCTATCTACCTCAAAGAAATGTGTGGATAACGCTTTTACCATAAATGATTTTGGCTAGTGTTAATACTGTTTTCAACATGCCAAAGTTGGTATAATTTAGGAGCTTTCAGTGACCTTGGTTTTAGAAGTTCTTTTTAACTTTGACCTCAGAATGATTTAAAGCTGAAGGACATGCATTTATTTTAAGGAGACTAAAACGATCTGAGAACTGTTGTGCTTTCATTTTTATCTTCTACGGTTGTATGGTTTGTAAACATCATCCAATGGGGCTATCTTTTCCTAACGAGTGATTAATTTACAAACTTTACAAAATAGTTTTTTAGCATTTTATTTTATTAGTTTCAAGTATACAGTACATTGGTTAGACGTTTATATAGTTTATGAAATGATCCCCCTGATTACTCTCTTCTGGCTTTGCACATAGCTATTACATTACTGCTGACTGCATTCCCTGTGCTGTGCTCCCCATCCCCCTGACCATCTTTCAGCTACTAATTTGTATTTCTTTAACCCTTCACTTCTTTCAAAATAAATTTTAAAAGAAATTTTCCCCAACTAAATCTGGAACATAAGTAGATTGTGGTGGCTTCTTTTTAAACTTATATTTGTTATTGCTTTAAGATAATATGGTATGTATTAAATATGGAAACGAAAAAGCTCCATTAGAAAGTGTACAGATGTTATGAAGTGTATTACCATTGGACTTTTTTAAATAGTAAGGTTTCTTAGTGCTTTTTAAAGTACAACCAATTAAAATTTAATTTGTACCCAATTTTTCATCAACTTAGTTACTGCATAAACCAAATTACCTTCCTTTATCTTGGTCATGTCAAAGAAAAAGAAAAAACTTTTTATAACTCACAAGATGAATGGCTCTAAAGACATAAACATATAGGAAATAGTTCTACCATTTGAAATTTCTTTTTTGAAGTAATCTTTAAGCATAGGGATTTAAAAGTGCTTGCTAAATTAAGGGTCATCAAGTGTATCCCCCTTTGGCTCTGAAATTGTTTTGGCTCTTGGAATCTACCTTCCAGCTGTCTATAGCTTAGATTCTTAATAGACCTCAGCTTTTTGTTCTGTAATCTGAATTTTGTTTAGATTCTGCTTGGTGTGCACACATTTAAAAGCAGTAATTGTGAAGGAAAAGTAATAAAACAAAAAATAAATTGAGATTTTGTTCTTAGCTCCATAATAGAAATTCTGTGGGAGCTTGGGTAGAATGTTCTCCTTATAAAAATAATCACATGATTTATTGAGCATTTACTATCCGTTGAACAGTATTCTTGGTACAGAGGAGTTAAATTGGTGAACAAGATATATTTGGTTTCTCCCCTTATGTCTATATGTAAGATATCTTAATCACTTAATTCTTCCTCCCAGAGCTTATGCCTGGAAGAAAGAGAGAATCAGCTTATTGTCCTGGAAAGTTCGCTTTGATTGTGGGACTTTTGGGAAGTCTGAATCCAGCTTTAAGAATCATGAGTTTACTGCTTCAAAATCATTTAGTGTATTTATCAATATTTAGTTTTCTTCTTTTTTGAATTATGCCCTTGCCATGATGCAAAGAATGGAAAAATCATTCCTAATGCCACTGCTTCAGTTAATTTGTGTGAAGGCGCTTTGAAAGAAAGAGAGTATGTTATTAGCACTAGGAAAGAGATGGGAATATTTCTTGCAACATAAACCTATATTTAACATGCCTGTATAATCAGTGGTCAGATGGAACATAATGCTACTTCTTTGATTAATATTTGTGAAAGTGCTTTGAAAAAAGCGAAAGCCATGCAAATACAAGGGAATGGTTTGATTATCATTGTTAATACTAGAGAGAAGGTATTGAGTATAGTTTATGGAATAACCACCTATTTATTATGCTAATACAGACTTTAGACAGTTTGTATCATGGTGACTTGGTTTTAATTTAACTGTTATTTTAAAAGCTCAGAGCATTTTTTTTCATATTTAATCTATTTTTATAGTCTTATGATAAAGGAGAGGTGGCTTTTGTACAGAAGGAAGTACTGCACATTAAGTACGCAATAAAAATTAAGTCATTTGCTCATAGTTACATTTAGTAGCCAACTTTAGCTGTTTCCTTCCCAGCTGTTAGGACTCTTAATACTACCAGCCTCCATTCAATAAGGCTATTTATTCCTACTAGTTAGTAACAAAAATTAACTGTGACGCTCACAAAGGAAATTGTCCAAAACTAGTATTTGAATTCCTTAGCTTTCTGGTTTATGCATCATTCATTATGCCTTTATTATTATTGTTATTTATTTAGCATTCCTGTAACATTATTAGCAAACTGCTTTGAATCCATTCACAAATCTTTATCCTCTTTAATTAGCTTCATCAGGAAGTCTCTGGTAGCTGATCATTAACGATTGGATTTTCAGATGCTAAAGAGTTATATATCTATACAAAATAGTATGCCTCTGAATTGAGTTTGTTAACTATGTTGTCTCCTTCATTGCTCAGTTGATTTCTCTTAGGGCATAAAGTAAGGTCTGACAGCTCTTGAGGGGGCCTGTACTGTTGTAGACCCATCCAACTTCAGTTTTCTTTAGACTTCAATCTGTTTCATCAGGGTTATCTCAAGGTTCTTTTTCTCTGGATCTGGAATACTTCAGAGTAATTCCTATACAAACAGGCTCATATTTCTGGGTGTTTTATTTATGCTGGACCAATAATAAAGAAGATAACCTTCCTGTTTTCCTACCTAATGGTTTATATTCTCTTTTGTTTTCTTTCTTCTCTGGTCCCTAACTGTTTATACTTTTATCCAGTATACCTTTATTGAACATCTACCTTGTCGCAAGGCAGTCATAGGGAGAAGTAGCTTTGAAAATAAAATACAATGTGGTAAGTACTATAATGGAGGTATGTATGTTCAAGGTGCTTATTTGGTAACTTAGAAGATATTCCCTAAGTTCAGTCACTAATATGCCTTTCTTCCCTGCATTCTGTATCATTATTCTATATTTACTTCAAATACTTTTCTACTTTTAAGGCTTTAACTATCATTTCAATGGTGATGAGACTTTTTTCCTTTTTATCACTAACATGTTTCTGGCTTTGATTGTCAATTAGACTATTCTATTTGAGAGTTCCTCTGGAAAATCATGTGCAACATGTCTAAAATAGGGTTCATTTTCTTGAAAACTAATTTTCTGTGTACTATTTCCATTCCTTTCAGTGATACTAACTTTTGGCTTTTTTTTGGCTTCTCCATTTTTTTCTCCATTATCTAATCTAATTGAATTTTTTGTTAATTCTGCTTTTTATAGTATAGAATTATTATATGTTAAATTATATGTTAATTTAAATATAGCTGAATATTCCTCCTGATTGCTTATTAGAATAAAACACCTCAGACCAGATTGGAGCTCCTCTGTCAGGTAGAATAATCTTCTGTACTTTGAAGGATGATACCCATTAAGATAAATTCTTGTGTTTAAAAATTCTCATTACTTTATATTAACATATGTACTACTATTCTGCATCATATACTTATCCATTTATGTAGAACTCCACTTATATACCACTTTATATGCTTATCCATTTATGTAGAACTACTTTTATCATAAGTATCTGGTGAAATGTGATGGATTTAGTTTGTCTTTGCCCAGGTCTAGAAGCTACTTCCTGTCATGTCCTTACTCTAATGAAGAAAAGAAGAAAGGGTAGAAGAGAATGATGAGATGGGGGAATATGAAAAAAGTCATATTTATAGGTCTCTGTTTATTTCGCTGTTTCTTTTTTATCTCTTCATGTTATTTTAATTAATTTTTAATCTTTTAAAATATCTTCTCATTAATTAAATTTATTGACATAATTTAACTAGTAAAATAAGTTTTGTTATATTTATTCCTAGTGTCTTACAGTTTTTGTCACTACTGTGAGTAGTATTTCTTTTTTTTTTTCCAACATTACTGAGTTGGACACATAATTTTGATAGTTTATCTGTAGATTCTCTTAGATCCTCTGTATAGGCAATCAGAACATCTTTAAATTATGACAGTTTTGTCTTTTCTTATTCATTCCTTGTATGGCTTCTTTTCTTTGTCATATTGCATTGGCTGGAACAGTACTATTATTGGTTAGAAGAGCAGGGTGATATTAGGCATCTGTGTCTTGCCTTCCTTTACTGGGATTACTTAAAATTCTACCATTAAGTATAACTTTTAGTACAGTTTTTTGGTGTTTGCTCCTTGTCAAGTTAAGGAATTTCTCTCTCATTCTTAATTTGCCAGTAGTGTTTATTATAAGTGAGTATTGTGTTTTGTAAAGAGCTTTTTCTACATCTTTTAGGATTATATCATTTTTTAAATCTTTAATCTATTAATTTGATGAGCTATGCTGATAGATTTTCTGGTAAAATATCCTGCTCTTGTATCACAATTTGATTGTAGAATTTTTATATATCCTGGATTTAATTTTTGCATCTATGTTTCTAGTGAAATTGGTTTAAATTGTCTTTGCCTTGTTTTGGGGTTGAGATTATGCTAGCTTTATACAATGAGTTGGGTAGGTTTATCCATTTCTGTTCATGATTTTTTTTCTGTTCTTTGGAGGTTTGGTAAATCTAACCTGAAAAAAAATAATTTGAACCTTGTATTTGGAGTGGGAGAGGCGAAGAAAGAAATATT